ACTGGGGGAGGGGCTGGAAATGGAAGCCACTGCAGGGCTGCAATGGGGGGCTGAGGGTGAGGCTGGGGCTGAGAGCAGAGCCACGGCTGGGAGCTGGGGCCAGGGCGGAGCTGGGGACAGAGCAAGGCTGGGTGCCTCACTTTCCCCACTCCTTGTGGGAGCTGGCCGTGCCACCCCCAAACACTTCTCCCGCCCCAGTTTGGGGCCCCCTGCTCTAACCACTACATTACACTCCCTCTAGGTATTGGTTCATGCCATTTTAGAGGGGCTAGGAGGGGCATGTCAAAGCAGAAAGTACAGTCGAGGCTTGAATGCACAATCAGGCGCGGAATGATACTGACCAGGGCTGCAGTGGGGAGGAGAATTCAAGGCCTCCTTCCCAGAGGGTGGGACGGGGTGGGAGGGACACTCAGAACAGAGACTTGCGCAGAGCATGGGCCATGGCAGGGGCGGTGAGAAGGGACGGGGACAGAAGTGGAGATATAAAGAGAAGTGAGTGAGGAGGATGAAAGGGAGCCAGGCCAGGGAATCAGTAAGGACACAAAGTCTTACAGCAGCAGAAGGAAGATATGGAACTCAGCTCCCAGCTGTGCTGACGGGGATGCCACCCAATGTGGAGGTGAAACGGGTGAACCCTGACTTCAGAGGTGAACAAGAGAAAAGCATGTTCGCTTCGTGCTGAAAGATGTCCCCTTGGCTTGAAATCAGGGCATGGCTTTGAACGGGCACACCCTCGCCACATAGGGAATTGTCCCCCGGTGATGAGTGATAGGCCAACCCCTCTGGATACAGCCGAGATCTGGGGCCACATTCAGGCTGGTGGACATATTACAAGATCAGGGCTCCCATTAGGCTGGGCCCCCAAATGGTCACGGTGATGCAAAACATAACGAGCGAGATACAGTGAAAAACGTAAAAGAAGTAGCAACAGTGCAGTCTTTGGGTTTCACCAACACTGAGAGCGTTGAATGCACCGCCTTCGGCCGTTCTCGTGGGCTGCTGGTAACAGTGCGTCTCTTGCCCACCTCTGGATGGAATCCAGTTTGGTCAGATGCGCGCTGCTATCTTCCCTGTAGAGGCTGGAGGCCCGCAGGGAGAGGGTACAAGCTACAATGAATCCAAGACACCCTTTCTAGCTTAACCACACACTCCTCTGGGGACGCCAGGACTAGAACTCACCTTCCATTCTAAATAGCTAGATCTTGGCCACAGGAACCGAAGGAGGATGCTGTTCGCTGACTATCGCAGCAGCTCCCTTGTATGGTCCCTGCGGGCCGAGTCTCTCTCGCAGGCACAAAGCCAGCTCAGCACAAAACCATAGACAGAGAAGCCGGCATTGTGATGTCACCCCCAGAGGCAGCAGCTCCAGGGTGGCCTCCCCTGGCCATGTAGGAAAGGAGAGGTGGCTGGTCTCAAGAAAGGTGGAGGTGCCGGATTTGGCTGGTGAGGGACTGACACAGATTGGCAGGGCTTCTAGGCCGACAGGACCAAGCCATGGGCATGGACAGTCCAGACCCTAAGTAAGGCAAAGCACTGCAGTTGTTATGAAAATGCCCAGTAATAAACCAACCAAACCAAAGATCCTGTCGAGGGACTTTTATCAAACCAAAGAATGTGCCTCTTGGACCTCGGAGCCTTGGTCACCACATGGAGCCCCCGAGGCCCCGAGTCCCCGTGGCAACAGAAACAGCGGCGATGCCTCCTTGCGAGAGTTATTGATGGAAATCAGGAAGAAAACGGACAAGAGCCTCGAGTTCGTGTCAGCTTTTGAGGGGAAAATCGTGTCTCTCAACACTCGCATGGACGTGCTGGAAGGGCTAGTCACCAGCCTGGGCCAGTCAGCCGCACAGACGGATTCCTCGGTCAGAAAGCAGCAGGTGAAAACCCAGCAGTGCACCCAAGCCTTGGAACGCTTGGCCCGAGAAAACAGCCACCTCAGCACCCGCATGGAGCTAATGGAGAGCCGGGCCCAGGCCCGCACTCTAAGGATTCTCGGGTTGCCAGAGAAAGAGGAGGGGCGAGACCTGAGAGCCTTCCTGGAGAATTGGCTGCCCCGCATTCTGCGGCTCGACACACCCGGAGACCCCCTTGTAGTGGAGAGAGCCTACAGGGAAACACACAGGAGGCATACGCCTGGGCCAGACACGGGCAGGACTGTCATTGCTCGCTTGGCGGACTTGAAGGATAGAGAGAAAATATTGCAGCAGGCCAGGAGACTGAAGAATATTATTTATAGGAGGAAGCAGATCCTGATCTTTCCAGATTTAGGCCCTATCCCCCAAGGTAGAAGGAGGTGCTTGGTGCTAGGCAGATGGGAGGTTGTTATCTAGAACCTGGAAACGGCAGTCCTGTATCCCACAATGCACAGGGCTCGGTTGAGGGCAGGATCCTTGTGGATGGGGAGGCCACGCCCCCCTTCTTTGCATATGAGGGACATCGGGCGGCAGCATTTTGTACAGGAGGGGACAAGGAGAGCTGGGGAGATCACAGAGAAGAGAGCAGTAGTAACCAAGATGCCAGAAGACGCAGAGTTTCAGCTGAGGTGGAGCTGGAAGGAGGTGGGGGGGGGGGGGGGGTG